GTTCTCTGAAAACAGCCACTCAGTGTGCAGTGGCAGTCAAAAAATCTAACAATGTTAGGAACCATTAGGAAAGGGATAAATAAGACAGAAAATACCAGAATTCCTCTATATAAATCCATAGTATGCCTGCACTTTGAATACTGCGCGGAGATCTGGTCACCCCATCTCGAAAAAGATATTTTAGAATTGGAAAAGGTAGAAAGAAGAGCAACAAAAATGATTTAAGGGTATGGAACAGCTTCCATATGAGGAAGGATTAAAAACACTGGAACTTCTCCGTTGGGAAAAGAGACGACTAGGAGGGGATATGATAGAGGTCTATAAAATCTTGACTGGTGTGGAGAAAGTGAATAAGGAAATATTATTTACTCCTTCACATAACACAAGAAGTAGGGGGTCACTGAATGAAATTAATAGGCAGGAGGGTTTAAAACAAATGAAAGAAAGTACTTCCCCTCTCAATGCATAGTCACCCTGTGGAACTCGTTGCCAGGGGATGTTGTGAAGGCCAAAACTCATGGAGGATAGGGCCATCAATGGCTATTAGCCAGGATGGGCAGGGATACAACATCATGCAATGTTTGCCAGAAGCTGTGAGTGGACAGTAGAAGATGGATTACTCAATGATTGTCTGTTCTGTTCATTCCCTATGAAGTACCTGGTATTGGTCATTTTCGGAAGATGGGATACTGAGCTAGATGGATCATTGGTGTGACCCTAGCTGTACTACAACCCTGTTTTCCTTCTTCCCACGTGTCTTCCCCACTTGTAAGCCCCCATGGGGAAAGAGTTAAACCATCATAAGAAAAAAAGACTAATTATAAAATGTCCCTCCCTCCACCATGTTAGGAATTTGTTTTTGTATTGTGGTAGCATCTAGAAGTCCCAATCAGGGCCTGTTATGCAAGGCACTGTACACATACCTAACAACAACACAAATCTCTGTCCCAAAGTCTCCTTGTTTCTCCTGGGAGAGAGTAAACTGAAACAGATCTGACCATACTGGTGTAATTATGGCCCCAGGCACGTTGTGGAGGCAGAAGCAGTGCTTTCCCTTCTCCCGGGCCCAACCTGTCTGCACAAGGTGGAGACTTAACAGCTCTGTGGAGCCTACTTCCTGCCCCCCCCCCCACAGGAAGCAGTGGTACTGCACAATGGTGCCAGGGATTAAAGAGGTGCATTACACCCCTCTACTCCCTTGCTTCAGTGCTCCGGATGGCAAGCAAGGCAATTGCCTAGGGACACAGGGGGCCCCACAAAGCTGAGTTATATGCTTCAGCCCCAGGTGGCGGGGCTTGGGCTTCAGACTTGTGAAAGGGGTACAGTAGTTGGGAAGGGTTGAGAAACACTGCATGAGACTATAGCAACACCTTCCAAACATACAGTAAAATGATTTTTGTCAAACAATTGAGGTTTGTGAGTTTCTTCAGATCTCCTTAAACAACACAAACAAAGAGTTCGATTGAATGATGTCAGATTGGAGGGAGGTCTCAGGTGGGATTCCACAGGGATCTGTTCTGGCTGGGTGGTGGTCAGCATTGTTACTAATGCACTGAATGTAGGAATACAGAGCATATTGATCAGATTTGCAGATGACACAAAGCTAAGGGGGTATTGCAAACACTTTGGAGGTTAGAGCTGAAATTCAAAGGGATCTTGATAAATTGGAGAACTGGGCTATAGAAAACATAAAATTCAACAAAGACAAATGTAAGGTGCTACACTTGGAAGAAAAGGTTTGGCAACAGCACTGCTGAAAAGGATCTGGGTGGTGGTGGATCACAACCTCTGCATGAGTCAACAGTGCAATGCTGTTGCAAAACAAAATAATAAAAAAAATGCATTTTTAGGTTGCATTAACAGAGGCATAGCACGCAAGTCACAAGAGGTGATGGTACCACTCATTTCGGTGCTAGCTAGGCTCAGCTGGGTTACGGTGTCCAGTTTTGGTCACCACTGTATAAAAAGGATGTAGAGAAAATGGATCTAGAAGCGAGCGACAACAATGATCAAAGAGAGGGAATGCAAGCCATATGAGCAAAGGCTGAAGAAATTGTTTGGAAAAGAGGCAATTAAGGGGGGACATGATAGCAGTCTTCAAATATTTGAAAGGCTGTCATAAGAAAGATGGAGAAAAATTATTCTCTTGCCACAGGGCAGAACAAGAAGCATTGGGTTCAAACTACAGCGTGGTAGATTTAGATTAAACCTCCTAACTTGTAAGAACAGAAGGACAAAGGAACAGACTGCCTTAGGGAGGTTGTGGAAGCTCCTTCACTGACATTTTTCAAAAAGAGGCTGGATAGCCATCTGTCTTGGATGGTTTAGATACAACAAATCCTGCATCTTGGCATGAGTTAGACTAGATGCCCTTCCGATCCCTCCTGACCCTATTGTTCTATGATTCCCCCCTATTGTTTTCTCACTTTGTGCATAGGGGCATGCAGATGCATTTAATAACACCACAAAAATCTCCCAAGAATGTGTCACTACTCTGTGTGAAGTGACATACAGAAATACTACAGTGGTAAAATAAATGCCAGCAGTATTGTTTAGTACTGTAAGTAACAAGTAGAATGCAGTCAGATATCCCATAAGATTGTTCTTAGACCAGTGGAGAGGACAGCTTTATATCGTATACCCTGTATTTATATAATTGCAAAATTTCCATGAATCCTGAAAAAGTAGGTAAACAAATGGTAATTTTGTATTTGAAAAATTTCCTTTCTTCGTTCTCTTCACGTATTTTGCCCTTTCTGCCACCACTCCATCTATTGACTTCATCAGCCACAACTTTATAAAGTAGCCACAGTAAAAACAAGTGCAAGAATTCTGCTGTGAACATCTTGGACTAAATTAGTAATACTTTCATTGGAGGCTGAGTGGATCAACTGATTGCTTCACACTGCACTTCCAAAGATTACAGATGTTCCCATTTTTAAAAATTCTGTTGCTTAGTTTTAGTTTTTAAGATTTATTTTTATAAAATAACGTAAAATTATTTCTCGTGGTAGTATTTCGTCGCCCCTTGAATTGGGTGTTTGAGCCTTTTAAGGATAGTAAAAAAGTAAATTGTAAAGAAAGTTGAATTAGTATGAAAATCAGAGAAGTATGAGTCTTTGCTGCCATCTCAAGGGCTTTGTGGCTTGTGAAGTGTTTCTCTTCAACCTAGGTCATGGGTTAAATAGCACATACTGTGGGAAATCATGTATCATCCTGAATATCAAGTAACACTCCAGTATTTGCAGCTTGTGTGGATTTATTCCAAATGCCAGCATTTCTAGCCTGTTGTAACAGGGATTATTGCATTCTGGCTGAAGTCTGTGGCATAAAAATAAAAAAAGCTGCAAACTGAGCACTCCCAATTTACATGTTAAGAACCAGTTAAATGAAGCAGTGTTGGAATTGTTCATTTCAAAGTGTGTGTATCCTTTAGTCCAAATTAGAGTATGGGATTTTTCAGGATTTGCTGTTGAAAAGGTTGATCAAAGAACAGTGAAAAAGAAGAAAATAGGACCATGAGGGACTGCTGTAGTTCTGAAAATAAAAATGTAATTACTAGGTTCCCCCCCCCCACAACTACAATAGAGAAGTAATTTATTAATATCTCTAATTGCTGCTGTGGAAGTAGGTAGAACTTTGAAATTAGTTAGATAAATATTACTTTTAAGGAGAATATCTTTTACTTCAAAATGTGTTGTAATTACAGAATTTTAGATTGCATTGGCAAGTTCTGCTGCTGCCTTTCACCTTAGTAGAACAGAACAGCTTGTTACAATGGACGTCAGCCTTTTAGTTTAAGACATTGCTTCAGTTTTCATCTGACATACCATTGGTGACATAGAGCAGAGGGCTGTATAAAATTACAAAACTTGTAATAGACTTTTCTACCATTTAAAAAATGTAAGTGTGCAACCAAACTGTGATGGTACAAGCTGACAGTTTTGAACAGAACTGTTAGTGACCATTTGAAAAGCGCAATGCAGGCAGTTGTGTTCACACAAAGCAAAGAATAAACCTCTGTTTATGAATGTTCACTGATTTCAACAGGCTTTTCAGAAGCTCTGCATATTAAAATTCACGGCACATAGAATACATACATATTAATTATAGCAGTACAGTTCAGCAACATGTGCATGATCTGGTTCTCCATCTTTCTCCTGTACTTCTGTACTATAATAAGTATTTTTCTAGTGTTCCTAGTGTATTTTAGGAGATGTTTATATTCTGTCACTTTGAAAAATCTGTTGTGGTTGATTTTTCAACGCTTTTCATCTTGTAAGTAATATATAAAAATCATGGAAATGCTTCAGCTTTTTTGGATTACTGCGTGATGACCCTCATTGCTTTTGAGACTGTGAGGAGTTAGACACGTACAGACGGCAATTGTTTATATGAGCAATTAGTGGAAGGTATAATTGGTAGGTAGTACTAGCAGCTTATGATGTATGAGCAATTGCTTAATTCCTTCCAGTTTTTTTTAAATGGGGGTTTGGCTATCTTTTAAGTATGTTGCCATTTCAAACATTGCTGTTTGAGCTTTTTTTGTGATTTTTGTTTAAAGATTAATAACTATTTATTGAGGTTTTATGCATACAGTTTAATGCAGTGAATATTGTATTCCATTTCTCTTGCGTATAGCCGTCTTACATATCAGCAACTGAATTTAGAAGTATAGTTTTCTGACCAACAGCATGCTGTTTAAACAGCATACCATTTAAACATAGAAATTCTATTGTGACAGTTGTATGAACATTCTTTAGACTTATACCAAATATGTAACTAATGTTAGTATGTCCATGGGGTATGGCACCAAATTTCCTTAATAAAAATGTTTGTTTTAACCATGTGAATTAACTGGATTCATAATGTTTGAAAGGCTGGATGTTTAAGATATTAGTTTCTGATATTCTAATGAAGAGGCAAGTTCAGCCTGCTATTTAGTCTGAGCTTTTTACTAAAGCGTTTAACATTCTAATATATTATATATTGCCTTGTAGATGAGCCAAGTAGCCCTAGTATTGACCATGATATTGCACACATTCCTGCTTCTGCTGTCATTTCTGCATCTGCCTCTCAAGCTCCCACTATAACAACAGTTCCTCCCAGTCCCACATCTTCAGTTCCTTTAATTCGACGTCAGCTATCCCATGACCATGGTAAGTTTTTTTTGTTTTGTTTTTAAACAAAACTTTTTTCTTTTAAAATTTTGTTTTCTTTGCAGGGAAGATATGGCAGCTTATAATGTTTTATTGCTTCAAACAGTCAAAACATAAAATGTCATTGAAGCTGATTAGTGTTTGATCATTTTGATTGACTTGCAGAATCTATCAGGCCTACTATATTGGATGGTCAATCTCCTGCAAAAACTGAGAGATCCAAGTCTTATGATGAAGGATTGGATGACTATAGAGAAGACGGGAAATTGTAAGTCCTGAACAAATCTGTGTGAGCGCGAACAGGCATGTGCACTTTTTCTATTAAAAAGTATACAGACTGTTCATTGATAATACCTACTTCTCTCTCCCAACAGGTCTATTAAACATGTATCTAGTTTAAAGGGAATCAAGGTTAGTAACATATTTAACAATATTATAAGAGTTATGTTTGCTAATATGAGTTTTTGTGCTGGATCACATGTGAAATTCATGGCAATTTGTTTACCTATCAGATCATTCTAAAATGACTCTTTGATGCCAGATATATTTTTTCCTAAAAGGCACCATACTGTGATAAGTTAGTAAATGTGAACTGCTCCTCTTCAGTTTCTCTGTTTTTTTTTAAAGGTACTTTAAAATGCATTAGACTTGTTTTATAGCTGAACAAAAGGCTTTTTTTCATTTTCTGCAGCATCTCACATCTGAGCAATAATATATGATGCACGCAAAGACAAAAATATCAAAAAATAAATAAAGGTGAAATGTCTCAAGAATTACATAGTGTGTGAATTCACAGTTGATCATTTTGTACTAATGGAATAGTAGAAACCTTCATAGCCTGATAAGTATTTCCTTGCACCATACACTGAGGAAACCTTCACACAGAGATGGGGGAGGGTGGAGAAAAGAGGGGGAAATTACCTAAATATAGACTTCTACTGAAAAATCTATTTAGAGGACCTCTTGATATTCTGACTCTTATTTTTCTTTAGGTCCCAGACAGCCAAAAATCTTCAGAAGACTCTGGATCCAGAAAAGATTCCTCTTCAGAGGTCTTTGGTGATGCCTCCAAGGAAGGATGGCTCTATTTTCGACAGCTTGTTTCAGACAAGGGAAAGGTATTGTGCTTTCTAACATATATAAAAGATAAATATAAAAAATACAACTGCCACAACTGAGGGTAAGAAAAGTCAAGCTGTAGGCAAGAGATGTTCCTTGTATGCAGTAAAACATTATGTAATGGGCACTAGCAAAAGTGACATTAAACATTTAGCTTTAATCGAGCAACTTCTACATGTTCTTTCATAGATTATATTCATAGCTGCCTTCATTTCTGTTGGTTTAAATTCAGAGCAATAGTGAGTAATTTCACATCTCAGACCTAGTTATTTAGTGCAAATAATCAACTGCTGGAAAGCTGGGAGTGCAGATTTTTCTTATGCTAACAGGGGGACAGATTTGTATTTACATCATTTTGAAGTTGAACAAACCTCATGGACCTGCTGGAAATTCATAGGCCAAGATTTTCAAAGATGAAAGAGCCTGATGTTCAGAGGGGAAGGGAGGTGGCTCAGCGCTTCTTACAATCAAGCCTTTCGAAGGTGACATAAATGGGGCACCCAGTCACTTGAAAATCTTGGTTATAATGCCTGCTAATTCTGTAACCATCCCTTAAAATTTCTGATCCTTTTGCTACTGTCACATTTGCACACACACACATTATTATACGTTCAGGCAGGAGGGACAGTTGAGACATTTGCCCTTTCCCTTGATGCAAAGCGGTCAGTGACTAGTACATTTATTATACAAAAGTTGAGTGTTCTGTGCCACCCTGTGTTCAATCTTTGTGTTCTAAAAGTTTTATATGTGGCTTATAACTAGGTAACAATAACGGGCTATACGCACAAACAAACAAACTGGTTCATATTTTCCAGCGAGTTGGTGGCAGCATTCGGCCATGGAAACAAATGTATGTTGTTCTTCGAGGTCATTCACTTTATTTATACAAGGATAAAAAAGAGCAGACAACTCCATCTGAAGAAGAACAACCTATCAGTATCAATGCGTGTTTGATAGATATCTCATACAGTGAAACCAAGAGGAAAAATGTATTTCGGCTTACCACATCAGACTGCGAGTATCTGTTTCAGGCTGAAGACCGAGATGACATGTTAGCATGGATTAAGGCTATACAAGACAATAGCAACCTCAATGATAAGGTAGCTATATAATATCTGATGTACTATCTTACATGCTGTTTTCTTCTGTTGTATTTTCTTTTAATCATTAGACTTTTTTATATATAATAGGACAAATATATTTTTCTGTTTCTGGTTGACGCTAAATTGAAATATGCATTAGGGAGTAAATGGAAAACTGCAGTGAAATTAGATACCCATATAACTACATCTATTTACATAGAAGAATAAATTCTTAATCTGTCTTTGAAGTTTAAATATCCCATAAAGTAATTGAGCTAGTAAAAAGCTGGCATTTTAATAATCTGCTGTTTAGTTAATCTATACTTAACTTTAGAAGTCGTAAAATAAGTTTTGCCCATTAAAAAGTTGTTGTTTAAAAATCACTGTTAATTTAACTACAAATATATTTTAAGTTACACTGTACAATACCTGTTAAAATCCAATGTAATCAGATGGAAGCAGTAATTTCTGGCCTATTCTGTCCCAGCAGACTCCTGTTGGGAAGTAGCAGTTTAGGAGCAAGTATCGGGGGGTAGCCGTGTTAGTCTGTATCCACAAAAACAAAAAGGAGTCCAGTGGTTCCTTAAAGACTAACAGAAAGGAACAGTTTTCACTTAGATACTTTGCACCATTAAATAGTTACATAGTGAAACAATGACAGGTATTTCAAAAAACTGTTTTGTAACTTTCATATTCATTTAAATAAATTACAATAAACATATTAGAAGACAGAGCATGTTGTATGCATATGCACACATGCATATTCTATATAAATGTTGATATCTGTTTCTATACATATTGAATTTGTAAAACATTTTTTATATGTATTTTTGATAGGTTTACATTTTTGTTCTGGGGAAAAAAAGTGCTTCCATGATGCTTTTTAATTACAGCTGTTTGTAATTCCATTCTATTCCGTTTTAGAATAGTTTGCCTAGGGAAGGTGGATTATAAGCAGAATTTTGGTGAGGTGGTTAAAAGCATTTGTTAAGTAGCCAGCCATGTGATAAATTGTAGAACTTTCAGTGCCACATATGTGGGTATGGAGGTATTGTATGTGTATAGATTGAGATTTTCAGAACAGTGTCCGGAATAGAGTCACACATCTTCTATTAAAATGGCAGCTTATTGAAAATCTGTGGCTAAATCCTCTGCACTTCTTTGAAAACACCTATCATAGCAGTTACTTATAACTGATCACCACAGCTTTTCTTTAATCTTTCAAACAATGTCTTTATTTTTTCTTTTGAAATATATTTGAATATTGTGTCTATTCCTAAGAATATCCATTACATTTTAGCTGTACTGGAATTGAACTTGACAACTACCCAGTGTATGTTATCTGATTATGGGAATAGTTGTGTGTATTCTAAAGGTGGTTAGACAAGCTTTTGCAATGGTATTATCAAAACTAGGATTATGAAGTAGATCTTGATTGATTTTACAGGATACTGGTGTCACTAGTAGGGACCTAATTAGCCGGAGGATTAAAGAATATAGCACAATGATGAGGTAAGCAGTCTATATGCAGCTGGCAGGTTTTTTTTTTGCCTGGTTCCTAGCTTCTCTGTACCAAGTAATGCCTTATTTCAGTTCTTCCAGCAGCAAAACAGAGCCCTCCCCCAAAACACCTCGCCAGAGTCTCAGTATCAGGCAAACATTTCTTGGCACTAAAACAGAACAAAGGACCCAAAGTCCTCACTCTCCCAAGGAGGAGTCAGAAAGGAAGCTGCTCACTAAAGGTGTGTATACTACATACATTATTGTTGGCTAAACCTATAAAAAATTAACATTGTAGAAGGCCAAATGTTCAGGACATAAGAGTTGCTTTAGCCCCTTTCTTCGGATACGTGAACATACAGATGCAAACAAGCATTAACTATTTTTTTTGAGCTGTATTTAGAATCACTGACCGTCTGTGGGCTTGTCTTCACTACCATGTTACATCAGCGCAGCTGCGCTGATGTAGCACATCTGGTCAAGACATGTTCTGTTGATGGGAGAGGATCTCCTGCCAACATAGTGCAGTGTAGACACTGCTTTAAGTCGATGTAACTTATGTCACTCGGGGGTGGTTTTTTCAGGCCCTTGAAGATCTGTATTGAAGTCTTCTTTGAGGTAAGTCTTGGCTCTTTTCCTGCAACTGTCTGTAGTGACAGCAGCAATAGACTACACCAGTGTTGTGCTTCTCACAGCTAAGCTCTACTAAGCTTATGCCTTGCTTCAGAAGATTCTTATCTAGCACTAGTCTTTCCCTCCCCGGTTGATCTGCAAATGACTAGGTAGAACCATTTTTAAACTATTGTTAAGAAAACAAAATTTTTCTGTAAAACCTTTTATAATGTTAGAGGATTTTCTTGCCCCATGGATTTAAAGTACCGAAAGGAAAACGCATTATTTTGGGTGGGAAAAGGTATTATTTTTCCCAGAGCAAGAAATTAAACTCTGCTGAGCTCTTTCTGAGGTGCCAACGTATTAAATTTCACAGATGAGTGAGCTGCAACTGTAAGCGTATATCAATAATTGATCTCCAACTGGTAAAGTCTCAGGCCAACGTTTTTAAAGGGAGTTGTTGGTGCACAGCACTGCTGACAGTCAGGCCGCTGATTTAAGTGACTGAGCACTCAGGTTTGAATGTGTGTGCCTGAACTCCGAGAAGGAATTCCGTTTTGTTCCCCAGACAAGTTTCCCTTTATACGGGCTATCGTTCTCAGACAGTATTATATACTAAAACTGCAGTAGCATTTTTCTGGAGAGATAGGGATGAGTAACCTTCAGGATCTTACACAGCATTATTTCTCCAGAAACCTCTGAATAAGAGGACAGGATTACATCAGGAGAATTACAGAGCTGGTACAGCCTCACTTACCTGTATCTTTGAGGGGAACCAAACACTGTGCATATGACTGAGTTTTAGCAATTGATACTGCATCTGTCTAAGGGTAAAATTTTTCAAAAGCATCCAAGTCCCATTTTCAAAAGTGACTTAAGCACTTAGAAGCCTGAGTTCCATTGATTTTCAGTGAGACTTGGGCTCCTAAGTCATTTCTGAAAATGAGACTTGGACGCTTTTGAAAACTTTGCCATTAGCATAATTAAGTCACATAGTGCAAGCCACACCTCTTCAGCTGTTTCTAGCCCTAAGACTAGAAAAGTGGTGGTTCTTCGAGTGCTTGCTCATGACGATTCCATTCTAGATGTGCGTATTCCCACATGCAGAGTCATTGGATATTTTTGCCTTAGTGGTATCCATAGCATCGGCTGTGATGCCCCCTTGAGTTCCACACTCATGCGTTGGTATATCAGGCGCTGCCAGCCCTACGTGCTCTCAGTTCCTTCTTACCGCCTGTGGTGGTTAGCCAGAGTGCCTTTTCCTTACACAGCAAGGGCTAGCGGTTTCGTCTCTCCTGACTGAGCCTTAGGGCCTTGTAAATAGTTTGTTTATAGTAGTTAGTGTTAAGCACTTGTCAAGTGTAGTTAGAAGTTAGAGTCCCAATGGGGACTTCGCCCCAGGCAGGGAATGCCCCTGTCTCAGGTGTTTAAACCCAGCTTGGACTGCAACGGGCCTATCCCTGTTAGTGACCCCCCCACTGTAGTTGCCTCAAGGCCTTTGGGGAATCACATGTGAAAGACAAGTGTCATGTGTAAAAACTTTCAACCCAGAAAGAGTGCAACATCCGTTTGAGGGCCCTCCTCATGGAGGCTGCTCTCCACCTGGCTTCTGAGCCATCCCGGCTGGACTCTACTCCTAGTACGTTGGTCTCAGTGCATAGCATACCCCCAGCACCGGTCTCTGCCTGGCACCATTCTCCTTCACCAGTCCCCAGAAAGCAGACCAAGAAACATGGTTCCCTGGCACCAGGCAAGAAAGGCTATGGGGTATTGGGCAAAGGACCCAGTTCGGGCCACCCATCCACACCGGAGCCACATGGACATGCCTCCCTAGTCGGTGCCCTTAGTCCCCCAAAGGATCTACCGCTGAATCCCAGAAGCAGTAGGGGAACCAGTCTTGTGGCAGGATTGATGCCTTCCCAGGATTGATGCCTTCCTGGCACCTAGAGAACAGAGGCCTTTACAAGAGCTGCTGGTACCACGTGTGCCCCCTACGAGGGCGAGCCAGCTGCCAAGACCCCCCAGAGGCAGTTGAACGCTGCTGATGTCCTGAGCCAAGGCAGCGCTCTCCGACTTTGTGCCGCAGATCTCTGGCTTTGCAGCTCAGATCTTCAGGGGCTTGCACTAGATCACAGGCATTGAGTGATCTAGTGCAATGCGGGTCACCTAGGGAGAGGCGCCAGCCTCCATGTTACCGGCACCATTCACCCTCCCGCCGGTTGTCGTCTTGGTACGGGTCCCCATCACCTGCTCTATGGGAACGATCTCCGTCATGGTACTGGTCCCCGGGGCCCCAGCACCGGTCTCCAGCGACAATGGTCAGCTGACAAATGCAGGCATCAACGGCTCCACCGTGGTCACCAGAAAGGGCTTCCTCCGGCATGGAAGGGTAGATTAGCTCCTCACCAAGGCATCACCGGCGCAATTGGGCACCGGAGGCTGCATTGACTTCTACACTGCCACCTTGGCAGCACGGCCAGTGGCCAGCACAGTGGCCCTATTGGAGTTCCTGGGGCATGCCTGTGATGGCAATACACCCTTCACGCCACTCATCGGCCACCACCTCAGAGCAGTGTTGACGGCACCGGCAGCACCAGGCTCAGAGGTCAAGTTAGAGTAGCCAGTGTCCACCCCAAAACGCGCTTCCCCCATGGGGGATGATGCCCCCCGGTGTTTCAGTCGTTGTCCTCATCCACAGATGAGGCAGTCACAGGATCCTCGAGGGCCAGCCCGCTGGACAATTTTAAAGAAGACCTGCACTTATGGCCCTGCTTCGATGAGTGGCCGAGAACTTGGGCCTAGAGGTGGAGGAGATGGCCAAGCAGGTGGACACCTTGTTCAACGTCCTCAGTCTCTATCACTGCCACACTACCAGTGCATGACAGGGTCCTCAAAATTGCCAAGGCCCTCTGGCAAACCCTGTCGTTCATCCCTCCCACCTCCAAAACAGCGGAAAAAGTGTGCTTTGTCCTGGCCAAAGGGTTTGAGTACCTTTTTATACCCATCCACCTCCAGGCTCACTGATCATTTCTGTGGCCAATGACAGGACAAGCAGGGGCACACCAGGTCAACCCCAAGAATAGAGGCCAAAAGACTGGACCTTTTCGGGAGGGAAATTTATTCGACAGCCAGCATGCAATTCCAGGTGGCGAACCACAAGGCTCTTTTGGGCAGTTACAATTTTAACTTATGGGACTCCCTCTGAAAGTTCAGAGTCCCTCCCCCAAGATTAGGCCCCAGAATTATGCATCTTGGTGGAGGAGGGTACGGTGGCAACAAGGGATCTCTTCAAATGGCCTGTGACCCCAGAAAGCGGTGCAGACCCTAGCCAACTTCAGATGCCATCGACACCTGAAGCTCTTCAAGCAGCTCAAGAAATCCTGACGCTCCCGCGGTACCTCGGTCTCAGGGAAAACCAGTGTTGGGACCTGTGCGTATGTCTCCACCTCAGCGGTACCAATCCCCATCGAGAGGGATGTCCTGCCAGCATTCGCCTGCCCGAAGCAGTCCTGCCTAAGGACTGGAGAGGCAGGCTCAGCGGTCAGCTCTTACACCCCAACCTCAGGTCCCTCCACCTCTTGGCATGGATGCTGTGTGGCTGAACCCCGAGGAGTGGACCTGTTCGGAAGGAGTCCAACAGGTCCTCCTGGAAAGTAGAAAGCCCTCAACTACACTGACTTACCTGGCTGAAGTTTTCCCCCTGGGTGTCCGAATGGGGTATCTCTCCCTTGCTTTCCTCCATACAGGCTTTTCCTGGACTACCTGCTCTGTTTGAGGAACCAGGGCCTGGTGCACACTTCCATTAGAGTGCATCTTGCGGCCATCTCCACTTTTCACCCGCCAATCCAAGGACAGATTGTGTTCTCCCATGACATGACGGTCAGATTCTTGAGAGGGTTGGAGAAACTCTTCCCACAGGTGTGGGCTCCCGTCCTGCAGTGGGATCTTAGCTCGGTCATCTGTAGGCTCACTGGCCTGCCCTTTGAACCACTGGGTTCCTGCTGCCTTTCCCATCTGTCATGGAAGTTCTCATTCCTGATGGTGGTGATGTCGGCGAGACGGGTCTCGGAAATTAAAGCCTTGACCTCAGAACCGCCGTACATGGTCTTCTACAAAGATAAGGTTCAGTTGAGTCCCCACCCGGCCTTCCTGCCAAAGGTGGTCTCCACTTTCCATATGAACCAGGACATCTTCCTCCCGGTGTTCTGTCCCAAACTGGACAACACCAGTGAAGACAGGCGTCTTCACGCCCTGGACATCGGGAGGGCCTTGGCTTTTTACTTAGAGCGTTCAAAGCCTTTCCGTAAATCGACTCAACTCTTCATCACTACAGCGGATGGGATGAAGGGTCATCTGGTGTCCTCACAGAGGATTTCCAATTGGATCATCTCATGCATAAGGACCTGTTACGACTTGGCGGAGGTTCAGCCACTGCCAGTTGTCAGAGCCTACTCGATGACAGCTCAGGCATCTTCAGCAGCCTTCCTGGTGCACATCCCTATCCAGGACATCTGTAGAGCCACAATGTGGTTCTTTGTCCACATGTTTAGTGCTCATAATGCCATCACTTAGCAGGCCAGGGACGACACTGGGTTCGGCAAATCTGTGTTGCAATCTACGTGACCGTGAACTTCTACCCTCCAGGGGTACTGCTTGGGCGTCACCTAATATGGAATGGATGTGAGTAAGCACTCGAAGAAAAGAGTTACTTTTTCCATAACTGGTGTTCTTCGAGATGTGTTGCTCATGTCCATTCCATGACCCGCCCTCTTTCCCCACTGTCAGAGTTTCCGATAAGAAGGAACTGAGTGTGTGGGGAGCCAGCTGTGCCACTTATACCGCTCCATGCGGGCGCCACTCCAGGGGGTGCCGGAGCCAGTCCCCTACGGATACTGCTGAGGGAAAAACTTCTGGCACCAGTGCATGTGGCGAGCACACACATCTAATATGGAATGGACATGAGCAACACACCTTTTCCATAAGTGGTGGTGTTTGAGATAACTGTCTTTTTCTCATAGTCTCCCCACCCTCCATCCTCCCCTCCTCAGATCCAGGAGACTGGTACGGCACCCTCGATTTGAAGGACGCTTATTTCCATATTTCAGTCACAGACGCTTCCTCTGTTTCATGGTGGGCGGAAGCCATTTCCAGTTTACAGTGCTGCCCTTTGGCCTCTCATCTGGCCAGAGGGTGATAACAAAAATGTATGGCACCAGTGGCTGCTTACTTGTGATGCTGACGGGTCCAGGTCTTCCCGTATCTCGATTTGCTCATCCAGGGCAGATCTCTGGAACAAGTGCAGAGGAGCCTCGTTCTGGTGCGCTCCACGTGCCACAACCTGAGCGTGTTGTTAAACAACAAAAAATCTACCTTAAGGCCTGTGCAACGGAGTTCATTGGAATGATTTTCAACTCCATGCGGGCCAGAGCCTTCCTTCCGGGGGTACATTTTCAGGCTATGTCAGACCTGATCTCCCATGTGAAAAATCACCTGATCACCACGGCTCGCACCTGCCTGTGGTGGTTGGACCACATGGCCGCATGCACATATGTGGTCAGTCACGCCTGGCTCCATCTCTGGCCTCTGCAAACATGTCTGGCATCCGTCTACATTCCCAACAGACACGACCTAGACTGGGTATTTGGGGTGCCAGATCGTATCTGGTCGTCGCTGAATTGGTGGTTGGACCCCAGGTCGATGTTGGAGGGAGTTCCCTTCTTGGCCCCATCCCTGTTGCTGATTCTGGTCTCCGATGCTTCGGACCTGGACTGGGGAGCCCACCTGGGCGAGTTCAGTATGCTGCGCCGCTGGTTACAGGACGATCTGACCCTCCACATCAAGGTCAGGGACGTCAGAGCAGTTCACCTGGCCTGCCAGGCTTTCTTGCCCCCCCTGAAGGACAAGGTGGTGCAGGACCTTTCAGACAGTGTATTACATCAACAGGCAGGGCGGAGCCAGGTCTTTGGCCCTTTGCCAAGAAGCTCTCTGCCTGTGGGACTTGTGTGCTGCATACCATTGATCTGGTAGCCGCGCATCTGCCCGGGACCAGGAACGTATTAGCAGATCACCTCAGCAGGACCTTCTCGTCTCATCATGAGTGGTCGCTCCATCCAGAGGTAGTCAGCACAATCTTCCAGAGGTGGGGGACTCCTCAGGTGGACCTCTTCACGTCCAGGCAGAACAGGAAGTGCCATGTGTTCTGTTCGATCCAGGGGATGGACAGGAGCTCCCTGTCAGACGCATTTCTCATCTCGTGGTAGGGGGCTCTGATGCACACCTTCCCGGCAGTGCTGTTGATTTACAGAGTCCTCCTGAAGATCAAACCGAACAGGGCGAAGGTTATCCTAATAGCCCCCGTGTTGCCTCGCCAGCACTGGTGTGGCATGCTGCTGGACCTTTCGATAGCTACCCCTCTGGCTGGATTTGCTGTCCCAGAACCACTGCAGCCTTCTGTATCCAAACCTGGTGGCGCTACACTTGACAGCATGGCTACTGCATGGCTAAATGCGGACGAACAGGAATGCTCAGCCTAGGTTCAGCAGGTCTTGCGGGGTAGTAGGAAACCCTCCACCAGAGTGACTTACCTGGCCAAGTGAAAAATGCTCACGTGCTGGTCCTCGGAGCAGCGTATCTGGGCCAAGCAGGCCTTGCTGCAGGAGATTCTGGATTACCTTCTGCACCTCAAACTCCAAGATTTGTCCCTGTTATCGATCAGGATCCACCTGGCCACTATTTCGGCTTTCCACCCTTCGTTCCAAGGCAGGTCAGTCATTGCTCATGACGTGATGGCCCGGTTTTTGAAAGGTCTGGAGCATCTCTACCCACACATCTGGGATCCTGCCCCTCCCTGGGACCTGAATCTCGTGTTATTGAGGCTCCTGGGGCCTCCCTTCAAGCCTCTGGCTTCCTGCTTTCCCCTGGAAGGTTTCGTTCTTAGTTGCGATAACGTCGTCCCACAGCATGTCTGAGATCAGGGTGTTTATTTCAGAACCGCCCTATAAGATATTCTACAAGGATAAGGTCCAGCTGTGACCGCACCCGGCGTTTCTGCCCAAGGTAGTTTCCCAGTTACAAACTGGCCGGGACATATACTTATTGTCGTCTTTCCAAAGCCTCATGCGTCAGAGGAGGAATGCAGGCTGCATGCCCTGGACGTCAGGAGGGCGCTGGCCTTCTACATAGATAGGACAAAGCTGTTCTGTAAGTCAGTGCAGTTGTTCATTGCTGTGGCAGATAAAAGAAAGGGTTGCCCAGTGTCTCTGTTCAGAGGTTTTTGTTCTGTATTACTGCCTGCATCTTCTAATGCAATGAGCTGGCAAACATGCCTCCGCCGGCAATTGTGACAGCACACTTGACTAGGGCACAGGTTCCAGTCCAAGAGATCTATAGGGCCACTACCTGGTTGTCTGTCCACACATTCGCATCTCATTAGGCACTTACCCAGCAAGCTCGAGACGATGGTGGCTTTGTCAGAGCAGTGCTGCAAGCTGCACGACCGTGAACTCCGACCTCACCTCCATGGACACTGCTTGTGAATCACTTAGAATGGAATCAACATGAACAAGCACTCAAAGAAGAAAACTGTTACCTTCCTTTTTGTAACTATTGTTCTTCAAGAGGTGTTGCTCATGTCCATTCCATTACCCAACCTCCTGCCTTTCTGTCAGAGTTGCTGGCAAGAAGGAACTGAGAGGGCATAGGGCCAGTGGCGCCTGATATACCGACGCATAAGTGCGGCACTTAAGAGGGCGCCACAGCCAACCCTACGGATACCGCTTAAAGGCAAAAATCTCTGGTGACCGTGCATGTGGGCTCGCGCACACCTAGAATGGAAGGGACATGAGCAACACATCTCGAAGAACAAGAGATACGAAAAGGTAGGTAACTGTTTGTTAGGTTTTTTTTTCAAGTCATGTGAAGAGACAGAAGTGTGTGGTTTTTATATAGCCTAATGGAGGCTAGCAAAATCCAGTCACACCCTTTCAGTGGAGGCCAGGTTTTGTCTGAGAAACTCTGCATATTTACTGAGTGTGTCTGCAGGGAGTTTGGACAATGAAAGTGGTGAAAATGCAGCAAATCATGAAAGACTAAGTGGTTGGCCTTTTTGGTTTGACAGGTGGTGGGAAAATAAAAATTGACGATAGTGAGTGCCCTTTTAATGAAGACAGAGATTGTTTCTAACAAAGCCTGTTGACATGTCAGAGAATCAAATGAGATCTTACTCATTGCTCTATTTTGAGGTGCCCTAGAATACATGGTGGTGAATCCTATTGAGCGGTATACTACTCCCTTCTGCTGCCTTTTTCCTGAAATGGTGCATGCTGCAAAGAGTAGTAGCTTCAGAATCTAAAATCACTATTCACAGTGGTAATGCGCAAGCTGAATGGGAAGCTGCTTTCAGTAATGGAAACCAGTGGGACTGCTAGAGGGAAGAGGGAGAGTAGGAAATACAACAGTTGTTAAATGTCCACGCTTTCAAAGACACAATAATTTTGTGCTTGTGATTTTTGTTGCCTTTAATCAGAATTGGTTTTGACTGTATGACTTTAACATTTCCATTTTCTCCCCACTTGCTTTAAAAAAGACGAGACAAGCCCACCAAAAGACAAGGGAACATGGCGAAAAGGCATTCCAAACATCATGAGAAAGACATTTGAGAAGAAGCCATCTGCTTTAGGAACCTTTGGCGTTAAGCTTGATGACTGTCCCCCAGCTCACACCAATAAAGTATGAAAGTACAATTTTTCTTTTCACTTCAGTTTGAAAATACGTGTATGTTCTTACTTGTGTGTGAGACATTTTGAAACAAAACCAACAATCTTCTCCTGCCCCCCCCCCCAGTATATTCCACTAATAGTCGACATATGCTGCAAACTGGTTGAAGAACGAGGCCTTGAATACACAGGTATATACAGAGTCCCTGGAAACAATGCTGCTATCTCAAGTATGCAAGAGGAACTCAATAAAGGAATGACTGACATCGATGTTCATGATGATGTAAGTTGGTGTTTGCTATATTTCCATTTACAATAATCTCTTCTAGAAAGTTTATTATGATTATAGCAATACAGAGTCTTTGTCTCTCTTTTGAATACACAGAAATGGCGAGACTTGAATGTGATAAGCAGTTTACTGAAATCCTTCTTCAGAAAGCTCCCAGAACCACTTTTTACTAATGGTGAGTTGTCTTCCCTTTTGAGCTTGTGTTAGGAATTTTTTCGTCAAATATTAATCCTCATTTGGGCCTTCAAATGATTGAGAGAAAATATTAAGTGAAAACAACCTAATGAAGTAATAAACTTCCACATTTCTTTATTAAAAAGGCTAATGATTATGATTAAAATGGCTTACATGTGTGAGCTGACAGTAAATTTTTCTCTAACTGCCCAGGAATCACTGTAAATGGTCTCAAAACAGGAACATACTTTGTTCATGTCTACATTGCATTGTATGTAGTAGGTTAGTATATAGTTAGTATCCTATAATTTTAGACCTCTTCCAAACTAACCTAACCCATTTTCCTTCCTCCTCGCGTCCCTGATTTCCTCATGCTTCTGAAGTAGTTTGAAATAATGTAACTGTGCATGTCTGGATATGTGTGTAACCACTATTCAACTTGGTAGCACAGCTGTGGGCATGGAATTTGTTGACTTTAACTGCAGATGGAGCATATTTTTATTCTTTATAGGTTTAAACTTTATAGGTTGAATATAAATAGTGGGGGTTTTAAAAAATTCTGTTTAAATTAGTAGTAGGTTAATTTTTATAACCGCAATCCAGTGAGATTCCCAATCAAATTATTAGAATTTATCAATTTAATTTGACATAAATTCTTTGAGCTATTTTTCAGTTACAGCTGCTTGACATATTATGTAAAAGTTGAAACAGGTTCACTTATGTTTTCTATAAAACTTCTCTCTCACATGCAGTAAAACAGATTTTTTTTCTTTTGTCAGACAAATATGCAGATTTCATAGATGCCAATAGAAAAGAAGATCCTATTGAGCGGCTGAAAACACTTAAGAGGCTGGTATGCTGACGATGAATACATTTTAAATGCAGTACAATTTAGCACTAAAATACTTTAAACTCCATACTAAGATTTTTTGTTTCAGATTCATGATTTACCTGAACATCATTATGAAACACTCAAGTTTCTTTCTGCACATCTGAAGACAGTAGCAGAGAATTCAGAAAAGAACAAGGTATCAAACCAAATATACAAGACTTTTTGCTCCATTTTACTTATTTAAACAAATTTCGTTGTGTAGGATTATTTCAGGTGATAAACCCATCTGTGTCTACCCAGCATTTTATTGGTTAAGGTCGGTAAAGTCAACATAAGGCCTTTTGTTGTGTTGAGGAGCTTTTGGATGAGACTTGTCTGTCTACAAAGTGTGTACTGATGTAACTAAAATTCATTTTTATTTACTTAAAACTGGGTACAAACCACCTGTGTGGGCACAATTAAGTTGGTTTACAATTGGCTTTATATACATATTGTTTAATTCTGTAACTTCAACATAAGCCAGTTGTAAACTGATTTACGTGTGCCCATGCAAGATTTCAACTAGTTGAACTGAACAGTTCGAAACCAATTTCCGTTAAAAGGGTACACGTTTTCTGTGTAGACCTGAGAAGTCTGCACAGTCTGTTTACTGTCGGATAATTAACATTAAAGATCTCACAAAAATAGGGGTCTGCCATTATTTCATTTAAAAAATGTCTCGTTCTCCCACTGCTGTATAGTATGTTATGCTGTACTTGATTTCAATGTTCTGCAGTTCTCAAGATTGGGCCAATACTTTGTATAGTGCTTTAGGATCCTTCAGAATAAAAGACTCTGGGTAAAACTTAAAAATTGCCTAAGTTCTATAGTCAAATGTCATTTTGGTGCGAAGTGCCTAAGTCTAGTTAACTTTCAGTGAGACTTAGGCTCCCAAGCACCTATGTCACTTGAAAATTGGAGTTAATTTCCTAAATCACTGAAATGATTTTGAAAATTTTACCCTCTGCCTAATTATGTATGATTGTTTGTTACAAATAATTATCAGATTTTGTGGGTAAATAAAAGCAAACCTGTAAGAAATGATGATAGCACAAACTGTAATATAAATTTCTGTACAATGCCTAGAGCACTGTTCAGGGTGTTGTCTGATAATAATTAGACCTTATGATAATTAGACTTTATAAAAAAAATTTCAGCTAATCAATCCTCATAGCATAGGGAAGTAGTGTGGTGGTATCCCAGTTTTACAGAGCAGTGATCTGACTTGCCCAAGGCAACACACTGAGTCAAACCTAGGATTAGGACTCAAGACATCCTGACTTGCAGTCTTGTTCTCATTCTTGTGGACCACGTTACCTCCCATTTATTATGAGTTTATTCCATGTCATGAGCATGAGAAGATAAACTGTAAGCCACAATATATAATAAAGCATAGTAGAAGTGCTGTGCTTCTACTTAGAATCATAGAAGATTAGGGTTGGAAGAGACCTCAGGAGATCTTGTCCAACCCCCCCCTGCTCAAAGCAGGACCAACCCCAACTAAATCGTCCCAGCCAGAGCTTTGTCAAGCCGGGTCTTAAAAACCTCTGAGGATGGAGATTCCACCACCTCTCTAGGTAACCCATCCCAGTGCTTCACCACCCTCCTAGTGAAATAGTTTTTTCCGAATTTCCAACCTAGACCTCCCCCACTGCAACTTGAAATCATTGGTCCTCGTTCTGTCATCTGCCACCACTGAGAACAGCCTAGCTCCATCCTCTTTGGAACCCCCCTTCAGTTAGTTGAAGGCTGCTATCAAATCCCCCCCCACACTCTTCTTTTCTGCAGACTAAATAAGCCCAGTTCCCTCAGCCTCTCCTCATAAGTCATGTGCCCCGGCCCCCTAACCATTTTCGTTGCCCTCCGCTGGACTCTCTCCCATTTGTCCACATCCTTTCTGTAGTGGGGGGCCCAAAACTGGACACACCAGTGCTGATGGACAAGAATGTGACTTGTGCCTCGGACTTCTTTATCCTTCTTCCCAGAGCCATGTAGTCTGCAGTGACCTGCACACTTGCTTATGGTTTTTGTCATAAAGTGCAGTTTAAAAAGCAGATGATCTATAGAATCAGTGGTTTGTGTGCTGAGGAGATTATCTAATACATTTGGGTGCTTAAGTATGATAGATCCACATAAGATCCAAAATGTTTGCTGCCTTCTCCAGGGGTGAATGGGAGTGGAATGGGTTCTGTGCATCACAGGCTAGGGTGTGCATGGACAGTGGAGATTTCCATACCTTTTGAGAGAAGTGTTTGATTAGTAGCTGAAATTCTTCCCTGGTCGAATAAAAGTTATAGTTTGGAAGTTTCCCAGTACTCCAGGGTGTCTAGAAGATGCTTAAATATCTTAATTAGAAGGCACTGTGTGTTTACAGAGTTAGTATTTTTACATAATCTAGTTTTTATGTAAAATCAGTAACGCAGGTGGAAGATATGAGAGAGTCCTTTTTAATTTAGCTTTTCCCTGGTTATATACAACAGTTTGGGTTCTGAACGGCAATAAAGGAGTATATGTTCCACTGTACAGAACTCGACCAGGTTTTGTATAGAGGCATCTTCGCCTTTTTATCTGAAATGTACATTTATAAAAGGTTTAATGTGAAAAAGTGATGTATCAGACTTCCGAGGATGATGATATGAGCACTACTGAAAATCTTTTGAATGTCATTAGTTTAACTGGCTTCAAAAACAACAGCAGTAATAGCTATAGACTGGTTGTTATGCATTGCACAAATTAAGAGTAAGTTAATTAGGAAGCCTCAGTGGTGCTTAATGTATTTTATTGTAATGGGTATTTATTGTATATCCCTATTATAAATCTGTAATGCAGATCTACTTCCATTACTTATTAGATGGAACCAAGAAACCTGGCTATAGTGTTTGGTCCAACCCTCGTGAGGACATCTGAAGACAACATGACGCACATGGTTACTCACATGCCAGACCAGTACAAAATTGTAGAAACGCTTATCCAAAAAGTAAGTGAATTCATTTCATTATTTAAAAAAAATTTTTTTTTTACATGGACAGATCTGCTTTCACATATTGCACAAGTTTGGCTCTGAGTTTTGTCCCTGGAGTTGTTTTCTCAAAACTGTCCTTTTTAGTGCTGTCCACATTTGATTGTTTCACTTCCTGCAGGGTTTTCACTTTTTTTATTTTAAATTGTAGCATGACTGGTTTTTCACAGAAGATGGTGCCGAGGAGCCTCTTGTAAGTATTGTTCCTTAAATATTTGTGTTCTAATTCATTTTAGTTTAGAACACAGTCCAGATATCCTTAGAATGCATAATATTTCTTGCTGCACCGTTGTATGCTTTGCTCTTCAGAAACACCTTTCTAGCTCTCCAGTCTCTGCAGTAATGAAAGAACTAATAAGACGTTCCGTGTGTTTTTGTTAAAAGCAATAAAGAAATATGGAAAAATTAGAGCTCATGAGGAAACTGTGTCCTCAGGTGAAATAGTGCTGTTTTCTAAATGCTGTTGAATCATAATGAACTAATTGTGAAACGATGATGAAGAGATCTTTGTTTATTAACTGTAGACAACAGTTCAGGAGGAAAACACTGTAGAATCTCAGCCAGTGCCAAACATAGATCATTTACTCACCAACATTGGAAGGACGGGAGTATCTCCTGGAGACGTATCAGGTAACTCTTGCCTGGACAGTGTTAGTCCGTAGGCTAGAATAACCTACTCTATTAATTCACTGTAATTTTCTATATTCTTTTACTAATAATTTGGTTTTTCTTCTTCTTCTAAACAATCATGAGTATTTTTAAGTGTCTATAGTGGTGTTTGTATGCAGTGGGGTTGTCGCTGTGTTGGTTCCAGGATATTACAAGGGCAAGGTGGGTGAGGTAATATCTTTTATTGGACCAACCTCTGTTGGTGAGAGAGACCAGCTTTTGAGCTTACACAGAGTTGTATGATCTGTTGGTCAGCAAAGCTTTCCAATCTATAAGTGTAATCATTGAAAGACTGAGGGCCAACAAGCATGCAGGCACTGTTTTATTTATTCACAATTCTCCATGGAATAATCATCACAGGGTCAAATAGATATGTGCTGCTGTATAAGTGGTTGCTGTGATGGCAGAAAGTTTTACCTTCTACACGGTTCTAAATAGATCTTCATCCCAAAGTTAGGAATGCAGTTAAAACTTGTTACTTTGCTTGTCAACAGATGACATTTTCATAAGTATACGGCAATATTTTTATATTAAAGCTTATTTCCTTCTGTTTATCAATTGCCATCCTGTCGGTTTGGCTAAGTACTAGCATTGTAGGCTTGTTCTTGGTGACTCTTTTACCCCCACTGTACTGTTGCACTAACCCAGCATGTTGTTTCCCACAAAAAGGTATCCCTTTGTCTCTAGCATTTCTTTTAGTTTTTCAAGGGTTGTTCAGCACCTACTGAAACAGTCACTCTATACTGACGTTGAAACAGGTGAAGTGGGAGGAGTCTATCACACGGTGATGTCACTAGTGGATTCTGTGATGTCACTGATGGACAGCTGGAACTGTAGGAAGAAGGAGGACTGTTGCCCACATTGTAGCTGCCTTGTCTGCAGAAACCCCCGTTTCTTGTAAATGCAACAGATTGATCTGTGCTGTAAATTTTCTTTTAAGAGTATTTTAAACAGATCAATGCTACTTTTTAAAAGTCTTTCTGCTGTTTCTTGTTATTTCTGAAGCAGACCCTGAGGAGGAATAGCATGGTATGGTCCACCAGTTTTTCTAGTCATAAAGCATTAGCCATGTGTCAAAAAGGGGTGTGGCATGGGGCTCAGCTCTTTAACTCTGGGGAAAAAGTCCCACAAAAGTTGGAAAATGTCAAAGAAAACATGTTCTGGTCATTGTGCTAGCCCTTTCCTACCCCCTTTATAACTGTATAACCTCCGTTTTTGCTAGACAATAAAATTATGGTGTTCATTTTTCATTTCATAATAACGCTTGTTATAGAGAAATACAAAACTGGTAGCTGCTGTACTCTAGCTAGGTAAAAGTAAAATTTCACCAATATGTTACTCAGAGGAGAATACAGATGTAAAATTGGGGTTTAAAAAACACAGCACAATGTTAAAATGCTACTCCTTATGTCAAATAACTGTTTGACAAAATGAATGCAACCGTACGAACCTCCATTTGCAGCTAGGGCAGCCAACAACATTAAGATGTTCAGTTTTGCATTGTGTATCACATCAGTCACAGGAGAGTACCCAGGACAATCCTGAAAAGGTCTCTCAGCTGCAGTTTTGCAGGGCTGTACACTTAAAACATGGATAAACATTAGCATTTCTGTTTTTTATTTAGAAGAACAGGGCTCCTTTGCCATTCCTGTCATTGAGCTGGTTCTGCCTACAATTCACAGCATCCTTTCATGGCGGTGGCTTTCTGTGGTGCAGCTTGCATCTTTGTGAGCTCTGATTATCCACTCTGTTCTGGTTTTTATTTGCTCTCACATTTTGGTCTGTGCTTGTTTTTTTTCCCCCCCATAAGTCCAGCATTGTCTGTAGCAAAAACAAATTTTGCACAGAACTGACCATATTGTAACTGATTTTTTCCACAGACTCCGCTACTAGTGACTCAGCAAAATCTAAGGTAAATCTTTTGTGAAATTATAAAGACTAAACTTCTAATCTACTTTAGATCTTTGCATTTTTTTGCATTGGTTGTTTATACATGGATACATATGGCATTATTTAAGATTTTATTTTAAACACGTGATGTTATATTCAATATTCCTTCTCCAATTAATTTTGGAGCATGAAAGTGGAAAAAGTCACTCAGTTGTAAAGATTGACTCTCATGAAGGGAAGCTGCAAACTCTGAAGCAATGTTTGTTACAATTAGGGTCTATATACTATAAACTACTATTTATTTATACATCATGTTCAGGTTATATAGTATGTTCCTCTCCATTGCTTGCCTGTTGTTGATACTCAGACTAGTGTAACAACTTTTGCATGTCTGTCTCTATTTCAGTCTGTAAAGTATGTGTAGAATACAAGGGCAGCTTCTGCTGACGGTCATGGATCCTAGCTCCATAAGAAGCCAACTGGTATAGCCAAAGATTTCTCTTCTAAAACCCATTAGAAAGCACTTTTGAGGTAGGGAGGGGATGGTCTTATGGGTATGATACAGGACTGGGACTCAGGAGCTTCGATCCAATTGCAGGCTGAGCCACCGACTTTTTATAGGTATGTCTACATTGCAGTTAAAACCTGCAGCTTGCCCAGGCTGTGGGGCTGTTTAATTGCAGTGTAGACATCCTGGTTCAGGCTGGAGCCAGCCATTAGGACCCTGTGAGATGGGAGCGTTCCGAACATCTACCCTGCCATTAAACAGCCCCTTAGCCTGAGCTTTGCAAGCCCAAGTTAGCTTGCAGGGACCAGCCATGGATGTCTAACTGCAATGTAGACATATCCTATATCAGTGGTTCTTACCGAGAGATCCGGGGCCCCCTGGGGGGCTGTGGGCAGGTTTCAGGGGGTTCTCCAAGCATGGCTGGCATTAGACTTGCTAGGGCCCAGGGCAGAAAGCCAAAGCCCCTCAGCACAGGACTGCAGCCCAGGGCCCCAAGCCCCATCACCCGGGGCTGAAGCCGAAGCCTGAGCAACTTAGCTTCCCGGTGCCCCCTGTGGGACGGGGCTCCAGACAGTTGCCCTGCTTGCTACCCCTTAGTGCTGGCCCTGGCTTTTATATGCATAAAAACAGTTGTGGCACAGCTGGGCTGTGGAGTTTTTATAGCATGTTGCGGGGGAGAGAGACTAGAAATATGGATAGTTAAATGCAAATAAATGGCACCTAAAGGTCTTGTTAGGAGCAGACTGCTCAGCCCTGGAAATGCCAACCTGCAAACTTCAGAGTCTTGCTATTTTAAAGCTTCCCTGACTGATGTAAGCAACTGACTTACCTTATTTATGTAGTCATTTTTTTGATGTTGTTATGGTAATGCCTACAGTGTGCTAGACCATGGTCACACATAGGAGGGGCTTGGCCCTTGCCCCAAAGAATTTATGATCTATAAATATTGAACAAATAGAGAATATGAGTGGGGGAAAGGATACTTATAAGAAAAGTGACCTGGTAATGATGACAATTATTGAAAATGTTTTCTTATTCTTAAGGTGTCCTAAAAAGGAGGACAAATAATTAGGATCTCCCACCACCTGCCCTTTTTTTTCCTTTCTGCTTTGTGATGTACAAAGGCAGACTTAAATTTGTGCCTATTTTTTACATTTGCTATTGTGATGTTAGCATTGTATTGCTTCTCCACTCCTGAGTTTTCCAGTCTAGACACAATCAGAGTTTGTAAGAGTGTGAGCTGGGTAGTTCAGAGGGAGAGGAATTGTGAGTCGGACAGGTTTTTGTTATCTACATCAACCAGTTAACATTTGGAACAAAGGAAGACTTTATTAAATAATCAAACATTACCCCTTCAGTTGATTTATTCATAGTAAAAATTCTCAGAAACCTCCACCAGTGGCTCTTCGGCAAAACCAAAGAAGACTGAACTTGGCATTTTTTTTTCCCTAAGATCTGGTCTACATTTGAAAATTTTACTGGTATAACTTTGGGTTAGGGATGTGATTTTCTTTTATAAGCCAAAATAGTTATACCAGTAAACATTATAGTGTGGATACCAGTTTATACCAGTGAGACTGGAATAAAAGTGACTTATATTGGTATAGTTATTCCCCTTCTTGTACAGAAATTGCTATACCAGTATAAAGCACCTTTATACTGATAGAACTGCGGAACAACTGTCTAATGTGGACAAGGCTTAAGATAATTAAGCAGAAAAGTCACTTAAAAAACCAAACATGTACCACCTAAAACTTTCAGTCTGCCTTTTACTAAGAAACAAAACCAAAAAGGGTGTAAAAAATTTTAAGGAAAATCTTCTGGGGAGCACCTATAATTGTAGTGATGATGAAAACCAACCAAACAAAACATTGTCCTGAAGTACCTCACCACCCACCTTGCCATAAGCAGCCCATGAGGTCAGTGGGATTGGAGTCAGATGGAAGGGCGACACAAAAAGATATAGAGGCAGAGCTATACAGGACCTTGAACGCAAGCACAAGTGGCTTGAATTTGATGCAGAGGAGGAGGGGGAACCAGTGAAAGGATTCCTAGAAGGGGTACCATGGACAGATGAACAGGCAAGGAAACTATCTTAACTATCCCGTAGAGGGGAGTAACTGGTGAGGGAGGCCCGAGAAGAGGTCACACGAATCTAAACAGAAGATGAGGGCATAAGCAAGAGCTTTAGCTAGAGAGAAGGAAAGAAAAGTTGGATCTCTTGAGTGCCTTGAAAGCAGCAGCAGAATTTGAGCAGGGCTTAGGTAATACAGAGCAAGGGGAAAGGAAGAGTCAGATGACCATCTCACAGCTGAATAACGGGGAGATTTGTGGTGGTGTTATTAGTGACTGAGAACGTGGAGAGCAGAGAATGCTTCATGGCCAAAACTGATCTTCCCTATGTTAAGCTTAAATTGATGATGATACATCCAGGAGGCAATGTCAGAAAGATGTGCCTAGATCTGGGATTGGATGGATGGAAACAAGTCAGGAGTGGAAAGGTATATGTAAGTCTTCAGGCTGGAGATGGTAGCTGAAGTTGTATGAGATCATTCAAAGAAAGGGTGTAAAGTGGGAAGAGGGAGGGACTGAAGTTCGAGCCGCGCAGAATGTTCTCTGTCAAACAGATCACACTAGATTCTGATGTTGAAGAGGGTCTTTTTAGGCTCCCTGGAGTCTCCTTAACTACTTAATATAGCACCCAGTTAATAATTACAGTTGGACTGTGGCAGACAGAGGGACTCTGCTGCAAAGTAGGGAAAGGGAGGATGTAGGGTGCCTAGTGTGGCAGTTCAGGCCACACACACAGAGCAGAGCAGTATTCCCTGAAGAAACAGGAGTGAGCACTATGGCTTTGGAGACCAGAATACCCACATAAAATCTCAAACCAATGGCATGCTGGTACATGTTTTAACTGCTAACTGTGTTCCTTGATTTTTGTTCAAAACAGGGTTCTTGGGGATCTGGAAAGGATCAGTATAGCAGGGAACTGCTTGTGTCCTCCATCTTTGCAGCAGCTAGTCGCAAGCGGAAAAAAACAAAAGAAAAACCACAACCAAGCAGCTCAGAAGATGAGCTGGATAATGTATTTTTTAAGAAGGAGCTTGCTGAACAATCTCATGGTGATGTAACAAAAGAGGAATGTGAGAGAGAGACGGCAGAAAGAAAACAAAGGATGTTGGTTCTGAAAGAAAAAGAGAACAGCACTAAAAAAGACATGATTGTTGCAAAGGATGAAAAGAAATCATTGAGGAAAGAGAGCATCCATTTAGAGGAGCCTTCACCACCTTACCAACAAAAATATACAAAGTCACCGAATCTCAGCCACCGGTTAACGGTAGGGAACGATAGTCCTAAAATGCCTATTTCACAAGCCTCATCCCAGGTTGAAGAGACAGTGTCTGACTCTGGCACTATGCTTAGCACTTCATCCCAGGCTTCCCTGCACAGATTTTCAGGCAAAAAATTAGCCAGCCCTGAAATTAAATGCATTGAATTTTTAGCTGCTGATGTCAGTTCTATCACCTCAGATTACTCAACCACTTCATCTACTACATATGTAACTGGCTTAGAGTCTAATATGCTGAGCCCTGAAGTGCAATCGGTGACAGAAAGCAAGGGGGATGAGGCTGATGATGAAAGAAGTGAATTGATCAGTGAAGGCCGTCCTATGGAAACGGACAGTGAAAGTGATTTCCCCGTCTTTGCTACAAGTTCTGCTGCTGAAAGGATATTCAGGGGGAAAATGCAAGAAGTGCCAAAAACAAATCGGAGGAACTCCGAAGAAAGCGAAGTAAGTTGTACTGAGGGAAGTTCAACACCAAAGTTAGACAGCCGCAGACTGTTTAGCTCTCATAAACTTATTGAATGTGATACGCTATCTAGAAGAAAGTCTGCCCGGCACAAAACAGATAGCGAAGGATCAGGGGATGCCAAGAATGAGAAGGAGTCGCCTGCAATGACCAGAATGTTTGATATAATGAAAAAAGGAAGATCAACAAGCAGTTTAACTACATCAACTAGAAGTGAAACTGAAAAACAAGAACCTACGTGGAGACTTAAAATAACAGACAGATTAAAACTGCGTCTCAAAGCATCTGCAGATGATATGTTTGGTATAGGAAATCAAAAATCTAGCTCTGCAGAGACCTCAAAGAGAAAAAATATCAGGCGAAGGCATACACTTGGAGGGCAGAGGGATTTTGCGGAAATAAGTGTTTTGAACGCATGGAAAGCTCAAGAGCAGGGTCAAAGTAGAGAGAGAGAATCTGAGCTTTCAGCTGTGAATCGGTTGAAGCCAAAATGTCCAGCCCAGGACCTCTCAATTTCAGAGTGGCTTGCACGGGAACGTTTACGCACTAGCACAACTGACCTTAATACGGGTGAAACTGGAGAGCCCAAACTTGAGAACACTAGCTTAACAGATGTATCAAAGGCAGATCTGCCTTTATCTGCAGAGATGCAGGCAGATGAAGGCAGTTCTTCTAGCAGCTTGACTTCGATCAATAGAACACCCCCTCTGTCAGGACCACTCCAGCCTCCTGACCAGGTAAATGGTGAAACTTATCAGAGCATGAACAAAAGCAGCTTCAGTGCAGCAGTTGATGCCCATCCTCATAAACTCTCTGGGACCCAGGTGGTTAGATCTCGATTTTACCAGTATCTTTGAAATGGGGAAAGGTCCACTACAGCTTACTGTTACACTTCCCAATAACTCTGTATATATTTTCCTGTACTGTTGTCTTTATGCAGCCTTCATTTGGGCTGGTTTCATCCATATGCACTGTGGAAAGTCTTTCACAGTGCATTACTACAGCCAGAAGAACATTTTAAAAAAAGTTAAAAGTATATATCTATTTTAAGAAAAAGTATATTTGATGGCTGCATACAAATGTTGAACAAAGCATCTGATGCAACATGCTATGTAGTGTGTATATGGTTTTATGACTGAAAGTTGGTCTGGCATTAGTATGCAGAAAAATTGTTCTTTTGGGTTAGTCACGAACAAGTGCCTCATCATAAATTCATTTGGTTTGTTAGGGTGCCATATTGTTAATTGTTAAATTAGAGAAACATACTACAAACAAACGAACGAACGCATTTTATTGTTAACAAATTTCATTACATTTTACAGATTTTAACACAGGTGGATACAGAGCTTCCATTCTTTAGGCATTCCAGTTGGATCTCTGAGTTTTATATTCCAATTTTAATACAGTTTGTGTTTTATGTGACTTGAATTTTTAATCTTTCTGTAAAATAAGTAACTTAAATGTACATATTACATGTGTATCTTTTCTTCAGATACCAGATTTGATATAAATGTTGTAACATAGGCGTGTAGATAGTGGATCCTGGATGGAACTGGTTTCTTTTATTGAGAAGAATATAATTCTGCATGAAGACTTAATGAATTCAAACTTGTATCATGCCTGTGTGCATCTACTTAAACACTGGAAATAAAATTGTTTTTGTGACTCCTTGAATGGCCTGAATTTCATTCTAATGAATAGTTCTAAAATGATTGCTTACAAGTTGCAATCCGCAACTGCACCCAATATCAGAAAACCTGCAATTATTGTCTGGAATGAATGACCGTCTCTGTGTGGAAAGAGGCAATTCAAAGGTTTTGGGTTGAGAGTGTAAAGAAGCTACTATTACAAATGTGTGAGTTATTCATAGGTAAAGGACTCTAAGGTTTTCAAATCTTCTGTCTGTGGAACAGTCCCGCAAGTATAGCATGTGACAGAAAGGTTCAGATGTGTAAATTTCTTAATTTTGATTTTTAAACTCCATTTATAATCTGGCCCTATATCATACACCAAATGAAGTTTATTTGGTTAGGTGGTCTTCCTTCAATGTGCCGTTTCTGCGGTACTCAGGAAAACATGAAAATATCAATAATCCTTCAGAATCACAGAATGCTGAATATCTTAACCCTTAATCTCTGGTGTTTTCCATACCACCAGCCAAACCAGTGCTCTCTTTCATAATTCATTGTAAAGACCAGCTGATGGATTGTGAAAACTCAGAAAAATTTCTATTTACAAACAGAAAAGGAGTACGTGTGGCACCTTAGAGACTAACCAATTTATTTGAGCATAAGCTTTCGTGAGCTACAGCTCACTTCATCGGATGCAAACAATTCTATCTACATGTTATACTTGGTTTCTCCTCTTTTATTGCCTAGCATATTTGTTCCTTACTTTGTCCACTGCTAGGTATTTGCCCTCTAAGTCACAATCCTCTGTTGGTGACATGAAAGTTAATTGCTCTAAAGAGGGTAACAATAATCCTGTGTCACTCATAAGCGGGGAATGAGCAGCAGGAGCACAAAAACTCTGTGCAACAAAAATTTTGTTTTCATGCACATGTTCTCAGTACTAACAAAGCGCGATGTGTAGGCAGGCTTGGTTCCATATAGAGCCTTTTTCGTTTTGTTCAAAATGGCTGTAATAGTTCTGTACTTTATATCTACCTACCTTTTCACAATGGAAATAAATGTTTATGGTTGTTTCTTCACAAGGAACAGTACCTTGTTTGATAATGTTCCATGAAAATTCTCTTTACTGAAGTTTTGTGTATATGTCTGTGCCCAGGAGCAATTGAAATAAAAATTATTTCTGTTCTTATTGTCCCTCTAACAACTTTTAACTACACCTTTTCCAGATATACTGTGATGCTGGTGCATAAGTAGCATCTCCATTTGAAATATAAGGAAAAATCAATCTTTGCTAGCTTCTCAAAGTCAGTAGTTTGTTGGCAGTTTAATTTCACTCTTCAGTCAAGACCAAAAGTCTCCTTTTTAAAGTGCATTTCAGCAAGGGACTTCAACACCATGGATACTATGTTGCTCTGATATTCACATAATAAAAGTACCTGAAAATATGAATGGAGTGCAAGTGCCCTTTAGACATCTTTTCACGGGTGAAGCAGATTCTCTAACAAGCAAAGTGCGTTCTAATACCTGTGGAACATGGGAAACCTTCCACAATTTGTACTTCCTAAATAGATACTTGAATTGATTCAGCAGTGATCAAATGGAAAGAGGACTACTCTCTCAATGGGAAATAAAGAAAAAATGGACATTCCTTGGATAGGTGTGAAAAGATGAATAGTGCATTTTAGGGCCTGTAATTTTGACATCTCCAAAGCAATGTTCCCCTTTAAATGGGGTGGGGGGAGGGGGGGCACAGTTTGGTTTGAGAGCAACTGCACACCTTTCCTTCCAACCTTTTAAATTAAACTACTCTTGAATGTTGATTTTGAGCAGGACCTTCTGTGACATTTACAATGAGCACTACGAAAATGGAACCAAGCTTCAACCACCTTTCTGCTTTTCTCTCTCACCCTGAGGCAGGGAAGAAGGCAAGGGCTGCCAATAGGACTCCCTTGTTGCTGACCATCCTGTGGAACTGCAGTTGCCCTTAGATGATGCGATTCCTCTGTGTCTTGGTCATTTAGAAGGTAGAGTGAGAGAGGGGCACCCTTGTGGGTCCAGCTGGAGATGGAGCCTCCGTCTGTAGCATAGTGACAGCCCCTCTGTTCCCTTTGCCCAATATAGAGTAATGTTCAAGCATCATGGGCCTATATTAAAATCTCAGGGTTATTTTTTTATCTTGCGGGATCCATACCTCACACTTAACTTTGCTTTGATTTTTTTATCGTAGGGGGGAAGCTGCCCAAGGCCAAAAGGAGAGTGCATTTCAGGTTCAAAATCCACTGTGCAAAAATGCCTGTTGAGGAGGGTGGGGGGCTGTCTCCCTTCAACCCTTAGGAAAACAGGTGCGGTCTCCTCCTTCATTCAGAATTTCTATCCAAGCTCTCCCCCATGCTTTTATATTCACTTTCCTCCTTAATACCCTTCCTCTGTTGTCCATATTCTCCTGCATGCCAGATTGCTTTGTCACATCTTTCCCCTAACCCCACCCATTTCCCTGTAAGTGAGATGGTAGCCTCCTACACCACATGCTGCTGTGAAAGGCCCTCTTTCCTACACCCCCCATCCTGTTTGTGTTGTTCCTTCAATGTTGCTGCCCCCAGCAACTCTGCCCCTATGTATAATCATCTCTCTCATTCAGTCTCCTGAGTGCCATGTGTCTCTGGCTCCCTTCAGCCTCATAGGGTTTAACCACCTGTTCCCCAACCGCCATGTGCCACAATCTTTTTAAGGGCAACCTGGCTGCAGTAGGGTTACCATACGTCCATATTTGCCCGGATATGTCCGGCGTTTTGGTTCTTGAATGGCTGTCTGGGAGGAATAACTAAAAACAGCTGGGATTTTCCATTATTTTTCCCCCAAAGAAGAGTTGAGCAGGCGAGAGCGTGCCTGCTTTTTCTGCCAGCGCTTGTGCCGCAAAACAGCTGTTTTGCGTGGCTGGCAGGGAAGGGGGTGCATGAGCAAATCCCCCCCCCCCCCCCCCCCCCCCGCTGCAGTGGAGTGTACTCTTTTTTGAATGTTCAAATATGGTAACCCTGGCTTCAGTCCCACAGAAAACAAGCTCAGGTTCATGACCCTTGTAAGGACAGCCTCACTGCTGCAGGGAAGGCTGGAGGCTACTGGTTCCCAGACTTTAGGAAGCTGATCCCTCTGCAATAAGAAAAGGAAGCCAAATACACCTCCTTACCCTAATATCATTTTCCATCCTCCCTTTATTCCCCTCTCCATGCACCACAGCCCATTTCAGTGAGGGGTTGGGATTAGTAGTAGCCCCCTGTTCCTTTGGTGGAGGTGGTGGGCAGGTACACTGGTGAGGATGAAGGGAGCGGTCCTGCTGCAAAATTTTGGAGTAGGTTAATATTCCAGGGCAGTAGATGGGCGGAAATCCTTCCCCAGCTCCAAGGGAAATGGGGGGCAACTGGGGAATGGGGCATGGTGGTAAATTAAAATAAATGTGTCAAGTTTACCCAAAAAAACCCAAAAACCAAACCCACCTCATGAGGAGAGATTCCAAAGTTGGCAGGGCAGGTAGGAGACCTCTTCCCTATAGAAAGCACCTGCTGGCAGTTGAGATACTGTTTGCTCAGGAATTCCTTTTGCCAGGAAGTGAGTCCCAGAAAGGGTGGCCTGTTGCTTAATAGAAAAAGCCCCACTTTATGCGGTACAGCCACTGCACTCCAGGTCCTTGGTGCCCTTGATCAGAGAAACATGCATAATGGTGTTCTTTTTTTGAACCAAGAAAAGGTAGTTCCAGTTTGCCTCATGTGTAGTCCATGATTTTTTTTTTTTTTTTTTGGTGGCATGAGCGTTTTGTGTTTGGAAACGCTCATCAGTTCCCCAAGAGATGCTGTGTCCATTTTGTATGTATTTGTGAATGATAAATTTTGTTTAAAAGACAAGTGGGTCTTGTATATACAGCCTTCATTTTCAGTGCTCAGCACATGGAGCGCAGTTAAAAGGACACATTGGCTGAGCGTCTCCTATCACTTACACTAGTGTAACCCTATAGACAACTAGGTGGAGAGGTGACTAAGTAAGTAGCCTTTAGCAATAGAATTCATTTTTCCTCTGCACCACACAGTGATAGGGGCTGGGCACAGGATACACACATGGTTACTAGAGGGCTGCTGGGGCTAGTACTGCTGTGTCTGGCTCAAACTGAGCAAGGAGGGGGTGGGGGTAATGCAGGGACACAGAAAGCATGGAGATTAGCTGCAGTGGCACCTAGTGGGTAGGGAATGCATGGTCATGGCTGTAGCCCTGCAGGAGAGATGAGGCACCAGGGGCAATGGATGACTGAATGTGACCCATGGTAGTCCAGCATAAAAGTACATTTGTCAGTGCATTAAGGTGTATGCAGTCATAGATGTTACATAGAAGTAGAGGTAAGGTTAGGATAGTCTCAGTTTTAGGTTTAGTATTTTATACATGAATATATAGTCTGAGGGAAAACAGCCATATCTAAAAACCACAATTAACTAACTAGCTACTTTCTTAGGTTTGCACAATCAATCATTTTCAAAATATGAGGTGTGCGGGGGGTTGACATGTTTTGTAAAACATAACCAAGCTCTGTTTGGATAAAGTGTCCCATCTTGGAGAAGATTTGAGTACATCTGGTGTTCTGTTCGTGTATTCATGCTAGCAACAAATCGTCAAGCCTCTGTGTAGATGTGGGCTCTTGCTTAGCTTATACCAAGTTTCTCTTACAAGCAAATGGAGTGTCAATGCTGGAAACATGGATTCACTGGTGTGTGTTATTAGGTGACAGTGAAAATACCATCAACCCCTTTTCATAAGTGTCTTTACCAAAAGCCTGACCAGTATGTTAATGAAGATCATGTAACTTATTTGTATGTGGAGATCTTTTAAACATTGACCTAACTCCCACCCAGACAAGCTCTCTTCCTGCTCTGACTGACAGCCAGAAACAAATGTGACATTCTGTAAATTAGTTTAAGACCAGAAAATTAGGCCATAATTTTGGGAATAGAAATGCTTTGACAGCAAGAGCACTGTTTGCAAGTGACAGCGTAA